GGCAGGCCAGGGGGTGGGGCTGGGAGCAGGTCCAGGGAGCAGCTGGCCCAGCAGGCTGTGACCAGGCAGCCACAGGTTGCAAAGGGAGCTCTGGCCCAAAGGGGAAGCACGCCCTGGACAGGGCTGCCCTGCCGGGGCCAAGCCACAGGAGCAAGAGAGAGCAAATGGGCAAGGGTGGAGAATTCCTCACCTCCACCAACCCCTGGGCCAAGAACGAGCCCGGGCCCGGTGCAGGAAGAGGCCATGCAGTGAGCAGGTATCCCCCCGCTCACACACACAGGGGCCCCCCAATCCCGCGCCACACTGGGGCACAGGGCATGACTGGAGCCCCATGGCTACGGGGCAGGGAACGGCTCTCACCCTCACGCCATTGTCAAACCCCCCCTGCCACACCACGTAGCCCTTGCCGTAGGAAGAGACAATGTCCAGGAGCCTGCAGTCAGGAGAGAAGCAGCACTGATCAACAGGGCCAGCTCCCTGGCACCAAGGAGAGTCCCGCCCGAGCCCCCAGCTGTGTCTGGACAGGAACCTTCCCTAGGCCAGGCGCTCCCAGCAAGACGGGACGTTACCTTGGTTCTCTCCCTCCCCATCCCAAGACTGGTCCTAAGCAGGGCCCCCAGCCCATCCCCACCCACAATCCAGGGCCCTGCACACCTGGGCTGAGGTCTCCGGACAAGGCGTGGTGGGCCACAGGCAGATGCCAGCTCTGGTGTGGGGTGGGAGTTCCCAGGGCAGAGTGGTGGGGCGGGCCCGTGAGCCCATGAGGACACTGCTGACTGCAGTGCTGCTCCTGCAGGCCCCGCTGTGCGCCTCACCTCTGGATGTAGAAAGACTCCAGTCTGGTGTAGTCTTGGCCAAAGCCCATCTTCTGCATGAAGGCCTGGACTTCCGGATTCGACCGCCTGCGCGCCCGAGAGAGGAGCAATATGAACGCACAGGCCACGCTGCGCCCTGGGGCCGTGCTGAGGACGAGTCACGCCACAGTGCGGGGAGGGATCACCCCCACGGCCCGAAGGATGCAACCCCACAACCGTCTCGGGAAGGGCTCAGCATTCATCTCTCTCACCTTGCGTCTAGCCGATGGCTCAGTGCCTCAGTTCCCCCTCTGTGCAGGGGAGTTACAGTACTGCCCTGCCCCCCGTGTCTCCTTTCCATCTCCCTGGGGCTTACGTACACCACCTAGCACAGCAAGGAGCCAATCTCCTTTGGGGTTTCTACGCACCGCTGTAACTAGACCTCCAGTGATCGGCGCCCACGGCCTACGGCCATTCGCCCCGCAGAGCCTGTCCCTGCTGGCCCGCCCCCGCCGAGCGGCGGCCAAGGCGCACAACCCACCAGCAGGTGAAGTCAACCTCGTCGCCGCCAAGGTGGAGGTAGAAGTCTGGGAACACGGAGCTGACCTCTCTGAAGAGCTCGTTCATGAACCAGTAAGTGGCATTCAGGGTGGGGTTGACCGGCCCATAGGACCCAGAGGGAACCGAGCCTGCATAGCAGGGCGTCAGCAAGCCTGGAGCACCTGGGTCAGTACCAGAGAACACCGTAAGGAAGAGTCTATGTGCCACCACTGGCAGGCCAAAGCCGCCTGCTGCTCCCCAACGCTGGCCACCGGACAGGACAGCCAGGCAGAGCAAGCCAGGGGGCAGGGAGAGGAGAAAGCAAAGCCTCTGCCCAGGACAGGCAGCTGTGGGTTGACTCCATCTTCTCCCATCACATGCTTCGGTGACACCCATCCCCAACCCCCGCAAGCATGTCCCAACCCTGGATCCTAGCGCACCGGTGGGGTATGTCCCATCACCCCATGGACGGAGCAGACTGAGGCCTAGAGAAGGGAAGGGACGTGCCCAGGGTCTGCCAGCTGGTCAGAGGCAGACCTGGGAATAGGCCCAGACCTCCGGACTCCCAGCCCAGTGCTTCCTGCCTGGGTTGGGCAGCCTCAAGTTTGCCAAGCAAGGCTGAGAATGCTGTGGCTGCGCTGCAGCGGGCAGCTGGGTGCTGGGAGGGGAAGGGGACGTACCCTGAGCCCTCCAGCCCAGGCTCTTCGCCTGCGTGGGGAAAGGCAAGCGTTGCATGGCCATGGCTTCCGGAGGACAGCACAATACTGAGCATGTACTAGCCAGCAGCTGGAATTCTCTTCGCCTTGCCCCAAGCTTGTGTGCTCCTACTGGGCCTGGCCTCCCCTGGATTACAGCCCTTCCACGCTCCCCTCCCCCTTACAAATGCTCATGGAGGCAGCAGGGGCACGTGGCGGTGCACTGGCAGAGGCGACGTGGGCCCGGGATGGGGCAGCAAGGAGTGTTATAGATCAGGAGCGAGGAGCAAGGACAGAGCGCACAGACAGCGCCTCTGTACCATGCCTGGCTACATCCTCAGCCCACCAAACACGCAGGGAGGATTGCTGAGAGCAGTCACTGACAGGGGGATGCACGCAGGTCTAGCTGGGTGTCTGTGCCGAGATCTAGACCGCTGAGATCCACCTTTGGGCACAACCCCCGAATTCCCAGACCACCTTTTGCTCTGTGCCCAGGTTGGCCTCGTCCCTTACCTGGGCCCCAAGAGTGGGTATGGCCAGGGGTGTCAAACTCTGAAATTACTCGGATTCCCCGGAGCCGGGCGTACTCGATCACCAGCTTCACGTCGTTCGCCGTGTACACGTGGGTGGCGGGATTGTAAGCCCCCTGGGGGGGCAAAAGAATCAAGTGCCTCCTGCTCTATCCAGACCCACCCCGCCCCCCAGCAGCCCTCGGCACTGGTCAGCTCTCTGCTGCGCTGACAGGAAAGGCCCCGGGCCCGGCCCCAGCAATGGGTAACGACCGGAAAGCTTTTGTGCTGGGCACAGAGGCCGCCGAGATCTGCCTCCTCCCAGCTGGACCCCTGTCCCTGCCCACACGGCTTTGCAGGGCTGGGGGAAGGAGCCGGATAGGGCTTTCTGTGCTGCCCCTGCAGGCCAACCTGTGGCTGGGAACTTCCCGGCCAGCTGCAGTTTCCAGGCTGAGCAGCAGGTTTCCGGGAAGTGCCCAAGTTTCCTCCTTACATCAGACAGTCACGTGAGTGAAGGAAGATGGGGCGCTGCCCCTGGAGACCCAGACCTGGCCCCAAGGATTTGGACCCCACCCCCTCAGCTGCCAGCAAGGAAGCGCTGGCTTGTCACCCACAGTGCTCCTCCCGTTCTAGGCTGAAATCAGAGAGCTGCTCTTCGGCTGTGACCTGTCACGCCAGGTAAAGTGAGCACATGGCTCAGCCCTGCACCTGCAGACCCCACTGCTATCCCAGCCCTGGCCCCACACAGCAC